CAATACAAAACGACAAATTCAACAGCCTTTCATCAATTCCCTCGTTATCTTCATTGGAATGTAAATAATCACCAATAATAACACAGGAACATCACACCAGATTCAAAGAAATCGGAAAGTATCAAATTTATCAGAAATCATAAATCAAAATAACCACTTACTAGGGTGTCGTAAGTCTATTTTAGAGAGGGGATGTGAACTGTGAAGTCAGAGTCGAGTATCCATCAAACACAGTCGGTTGTTGAGTTGATTTCCAACAAAACAAAGCTCGTGACGTGAAGACCGGCAGTGAGGCAGAAGGGTGTCGACAGGCGGTGAGGCAGAAGGGCATCTATAGGCGGCCGATGACTTTGTCATCATCTTGATGACGAACTGATGACGAGATTGGGCTCTTGGCGTCTTGGGTGGTAGTGAGATTTAAGAAGTCGTTGTTTCACAATGAAGTGAAGAATGAAATAGGAAACAAGGAAACCTAAACCTAAAATTAGAAAATCTATTATATATATATATATATATATATATATATATATATATATATATATATATATATATATATATATATATTACATAAATATACAATCGGGGCCCCTGCAGGATTACGGGACGAAAGCACCCAATCCTGAAATTAAACGGGGTTTAATCTTGCCCCTTCTCTCGCTCCTGACTTTTTTTTAAAAATCAGTCTCGTACGGTATCGGGGTCCCACAAAAGTTTTTGACATCCTTAAGTTAGCCCATCAAATAAAATATAATTTTTATGTTGCGATATGCCATTTACATTTTACTTTTGTAAAATCTACTCAAACGGAAACATACTCAAACAGAAACATACTTAACATTGTTTGTTTATAATAGGCATGGACTTACATTTCAATACAGGAACGTCATTTGTGAGTGTCATTTTTGACTTGAAACAATCTTTGCATAAATTTCTTAGGAAGCAAACACCTCCATACATACACACATAAATCGAAAGCAATTTAAATTCAGGGATGACAAAGACGAAGAGCAAATCTATTATCTACGTATGTACACCAATTGAAACCTCCAACCATTTATAACACAAACATGTATAATGTAAAAGAATTGGAAAAACCTTCTGAAATATACAAAGGGTGGTGTAGAAGCAGCTTATACTTGGATTTTATGACTCTTTTTCATGAACTCAATCGGCCATTCCTCAGCATTATTCCAACCTGTGTCACTTTAGAGTCCAGGAAGAACACATTCTTATAATATCTTTCCTTAAAAAACCTGAGCAGATAAGAAAATGTCATGTTGCAAAGATTTAATAAAGAAATGATGTTAGATCTATGTTAAAATACAAAAATTAAATTTGGGATGGCAGAAACCCATTTATTCGGTACATCTTTTAATGGGTTTTGAGGTGGGTGGTTTTATTAAGATGAGACGACAGTAGATATGCCGTAAATAGGGAGAGGTGATACCTATTGACGATCGAGAATCAAAGAAGAGAAATACGATTGATGATTTCTTCGATCAGATTTTTTCTATAACTTATAGGTGATAATATTGAGAATGGTTTGGAATTGATCGTATAAAACAAGAGAATTGAATGAAAAAAAATCATTGAATAGAGAGAAACCAGGCTATTAAATGGGTAAGAAAACAATTTAATTTCAAAATTTTGAATCGAAAAAACTGAAAACAATGAGATTAGAGGATAATAATCTATTAATTGATTTCTAATTAAACGCCATCAAAAGGAAAGTTCATTTTGACATGTAATTACCATGTAGATATCAAATAAATATAAGGAGTACATTATGGAAGGAAATTTAATTATAGAAAGCTTTAGTAAATTTATTTTATATTAGTAATATTATGTGACATTTTAAAAAAATTAAAAACTCAACATAATGACAAGTGAAAAATAAATAATTGAAAATTACAAGAAACTGTTATATGGCAATATGAATGAGAAGAGGACATGTTTCAAAAAAATCTTTATTTATTATGTTAGATGAATAAAACGTGTTTTAGTTATCCTAACAAGTTATATCCATATATGAATAACACATTGAATTTTGTTAGGGTTCATTTGTTATTCATATATAAATAAGTAGTTTGAATTTTCAAATCATTTCGTATTTTATTAACATACTACTTATTCATACATTAATAACAGATAAATTGTATCAAAAATCTGATAAATGTTTTATTTACATATGAATATAATATATAATGAGAGTTAACACACATTTTTTATTCATATATGAATATAATATGTGACGAAAGATGATATAAATAAATATATTTTAGGTAATATAACTTTATTACGTGTAATATTCATATATAAATTACAGTTAAAAAAGCAAGGATATATTTTATTTATAGGTGAATAACGAATGTACTATAATTAAAATCTGATATATTTTTATTCACTTATGAATAACAAGAGCTGAAACTATTTAAAAAAAATAAAAATAAAAATAAAAAAAATAAAAAACATATCAATATAGATGTCTACTTATAAAGAATAAAAAATTATGAATTTTGATATATTTAAAATAATGTTTCGATAAAAATAGTTTCTTAAAAAAAATAAAAATAAAAAATAACAAGAAAACTATGTTTTTGTATATATTAAGGAAACATGTTTGGTTTGGAAAAAACACATGTATCCTTTGTCTATTTTCGTAGGCCCAATTAAGTGCTTTGTGATAACATAAATGTGTGTCTAAGATTGATTCTTCAATGAATGCGGGTCAACAAGTGACTTCATCCAAATGCTAAAGAAAACCTCGAAATCATGTATCTTAAAATTGGATGTTACATAAAAATCTATTTTCGGATAAAAATAGTTATTTATAATAGAATTTTACATGTTATAAAATGTTATAACATCTCAAAAAAGTTATAGTAACAACTTAAAAAATATTATTTTTGTTGATATTTGGAAGTTATATATATATATATATATATATATATATATATATATATATATATATATATATATATATATATATATATATATATATATATATAAGGTTAAGTTATTTTGTTTTTTATATTTATTGTGTGCTATTATTGAATATATATATATATATATATATATATATATATATATATATATATATATATATATATATATATATATAGATATTAAATGATTTCCATAATTATATGTATATTAAATGATATCCATAATTATAATTCTCTTTTTATGGAAACTAATTAAATTCATTATTAATATCAGCAATAACATTCTTTCAGAATAGATATGGAAAACATTTGAACCTACCTCTCTCTCTCTCTCTCTCGCTATATATATATATATATATATATATATATATATCCCCTATCCTAATAAAAGAGTACATTCTGTCCACGTGTCAATCTCCCAGGTTCCCTATACAGTTTTTTCCCGCCTAATTTCCTCATACACATTTACCAAACTGCCCTCCAGTTGATTTTCTTATTCAGTGAAGGTCAATAATGAATTCCAAAAAATCTGCAATTATGCAGAAATAATGAAATCCGAAAAATCTGCAGAATTTTCAAAATATATGTAAAGATGATTATGCAGAAATGTTAATTTGAAATTTAAAAGTCGTTCATAACCAATCCAGCCAATAAATTCCAAAAAATCCTCACCCAATAAAATCATATATCGAAATATATAGCAGAATTCATTGTTTACGCTACTATTTTCTTCGCCATTCTGCTTCAGAGAACTCTTTACAAACGGTGTTCAATCCTTCCTCTATGTCCGACTTATAATTTCCTTCGTTTTCTCATCATTTGTTGCATATTCATCCTCGAGGACAACAACCACTACACAAGGTTAGCAAACTAAATTAATGCATTTGTAAAAATTCCCATAGCAGCATATATTCTTCATAGTTTTGATGTTTATGTAATAAATTCTTCCACTTTAAAAACTTTACAGGTTTACTGTTTACATTATTTACATTTGACTATTATCTATAAATTACAAAACTATTTTCAGTAAAAATGAATTCTGCCCTCCAGAACATTTTCATATAAAACCATTTTGATTGTGTAGACAGGGACAGTCTAAACGTTTTCAGAGTAAACATAGTATAAGTCACAAAGCACAAATACTTCTTTGTATTTTAATATATTTTATGTAAATTACAAAAAAAATTCTTGTGGTTTTATATTTTCAGTTTTAAAGCAAAACTATTATCTATAAATTACAAAACTATTTTCAGTAAAAATGAATTCTGCCCTCCAGAACATTTTCATATAAGGTCAAAGTCAATAATTAAAACTGAAAAAATCTGCAACAATTAAAACTATACTTCATTAATGGATTATAAAAAAAACATTTTACTACTAATTCATCATATCTAACTTGTCCTTACTATTTGTCATCTTATCTAATTGTAACTTGCAGGGGCAATTTCGATATAAAATGTTGTGTTTCGATTGAAATATAAAAGAGTAATCACACAATCAACAAATTCTTATACTATGTTTTTCTGTTATCTTATTTCCTATTTTTCTACTAAATAGTAACCAATTTACTATGTCTTTGTATATATTCAATAATTGCATATATTAATTTACAAATATGATATTTGCTAACATTTGTATATGGTTATATATTATATAATTGCATATATTAATTTACAAATATGGTATTTGCTAACATTTCTATATGGTTTCAATCGTTTTGCAGAAAATGAATATAGGGAAGAAAGTTTACCTAAAAAACATTGATCAAATTGATGATAATTCACACATCAAAATACGCGTGCTGAAAATGTGGAACTTTACAAGAAATAATACAGTTTGTTCAATTGAAATGATCATAATGGACGAGGAGGTTTGTTGTATTTCTTATATTTTTTGTGTTCCATTCAATATTACATATGTTGCAACAAACACATTATTCTTATTTATTTTATTGAATAGGGAACACAATACCATTCTCGTGTCTTCAATCAGAATTTCTCCAGATTTGGTCATTTATTAAAGGAAAATGACACTTATATAATTATAAAACCCAATATGGCGGCTGTTCTTAATGGTTTTAGTTATACAGGTCATAAGCAAACAATAACTTTGGATTGGAAAAGTATCCTTAAAAAATGTGATGACTTTTCCGGACCAGTGAATGGATTTATGTTTATTGATTTTAATTCAATCATAGAACAAACATGCCCACGGGACACATTCTTTGGTTAGTTATTAAATTTTATTCCAATTTATTTTTTGACTTGTGTTCTTTATTATACATTTTTTATTTTAATGTTTTAATATTAAATAATACTATAAGTTGTGTTATTCTTGTGTAGATCTTATTGGACAGATTGTCTCAGTTCGACCGCTTGAAACATCAAATCCTGTAGCATCAAAGCATTATGTCAAACTCACACTTAGCAACATAGAGTGAGTTTATATTTATTAATCGTTTTTTATCTTTAATTAAATCACAGCTTAATATTATTAACTATTTTCATTGTTTATTTAGGTATGTACATCTTAAAGTTACTATCTTTGGAACTCAAGCATACCAGCTGTCACAATACCTAAAAGAGAACCCCGACGGTTAATTGTGTTGTTATAGTGATGCAGTTTGTTAAGCTTAACATTTGGGATGGTTTGTATTTACATATTATATGTATATATATATATATATATATATATATATATATATATATATATATATATATATATATATATTTGCTTTTCTATCATAGTTATTGATTTGCTATTTTAATATTACAGGAGTCGGTCAAGCTAAAAGTCATTTTGAAGTAACCAAAATGTTCATAAATTCTGACATTGTTGAAATTAATGAGTACAAGAAAAGGTTATTTTTTTTATTTATGTTATTTGTTTAATTTAGACTAACACAAATCCTATGATTTATGAAATCATTTTAAACATTATAGATTGAAATCTGATGACAATCTTGGTAAATCTGAAAAACAGCATTACTTCACTCCAAAGCTACTCTTCTTCATATATAGATGACTTTAAAGGCACTTTCCCATTAAAAACAATTTGTGAAATCACAGAACCGCTGAAGGTAGAATGCATTGTTTGATATCCTCTTACTTTTTTTACATTATGTATTTTCCTAACTTTAGATGCTATTAAATACAGGAAATGAAATTTTTGTTAGTTGCTTCAATCGTTAATATAAGACAGAATCTACACTGGTATTACGAAGCATGCTACAAATGTGGAAAAAAAATAACTTCAGTTTCAAAACACAATCATTCGTATACCGACCCTCATAAAATTACAGAAACTGTTGTTGTTCAGTGTAAAGATCCAAGTTGCAATAATTCGGATTTTCGTACAGTTATCAAGTAAACACTTTTATATTTATATTAATTCTTTCAAACATTATAGATAATTTATATTTATCTAATTGTTTTTTTAAGGTATATAATTCCAATCAACGTACAAGATGGTACTGGCACCATCGGATTGACTCTTTTTGATAGAGAAGCAAAGAGGTTGTTAGATATCATTGCATATGAGTTGAAAAAGATACATGAAGCGGTATATTGTGTTGTCATATATTAATATCATAAGACATTTAATTTGTTAATATTTATTAAAAATCTTCTTACAGGCTGGAGACAGTGATGCACTATTTCCAATGCAACTTAACGTGTTGAAAAACCGCAAGTTTGCTTTTCTTGTAGATATTACAAAATACAATGTCAACAACTATAATAATATCTACACCATTCTCAAGCTTACAGAAGATGTATCCATTGTTTCGGAATTGGAAAGTAAATTAGAACTTATGGTACAAAACATTTTAGGGTTCAGCAATTATATTTGTTGACTATGTAAACACATAACGATTAACATATTTCCATTTACTTTTGTAGAGTATTGAATCTGTCTCCTTAAATCAAGTGCCTTTGGAATCAGATGATGTTGTACAGTCTGTTCAAAAGGTTTTTCAATTTATTTCCTTAAGTTTTATTTATATTTAATTGTTCCAATTAAATACTTATTTTTTTAAAATAAATTTAGGATGTCATCTCACAAACAGATGAAAGCTTTACACCATCAACAGTTAATAAATCAACCGCAACAACACAGGGCAAAATATCAACTGATTTGAAGCGCAACCTCCAAGACATTTATGATGTTGATTTTGGAGATGATTTAAGTTCAACTAAGGCTAAAAGAAAATCAATCGGAGAGGAAACTCCACTCTTAATTCCAAAAGTCGAGAAGTGAGTTGGTTTTGGTTATAACACACATTTACTATATAAACAATGTTGCTTATGGTTTTAAACATATTTTGATTGGTTGGTATGCTTCTTATTTTTAGATATTTAGGATGTCAATTATTATTTGTTTTGGATATATTTGGGTATTTTATTGTTTTAAGGTGGACAAGTTAGTTAATTTTTGTTTTAACACGCGTTTAATATATTTTGATGTTGCTTTAGTTTTAAAGATATTTTGAATGTTTTGTATGCTTTTTATTTTTAGAAATTAAGGATGTCAATTATTATTTGTTTTGAATATATTTGGATATTTTATTGTTTTAAAGTGGACAAGTTAGTTGGTTTTGATTTTAACACACGTTTTATATATTTTGTAATCATTTTGTGTATATGTGTTGTTGTATGTGTGTGGTTTGTATATTTTTTTATGTATGTATGTGTTGTATATTTACTTTTTTATTGATATTTTTTCAATTAAATTGTGTTTTTGTCAATACATATGGTATAAGGCTTATTTAATTTTTAAAGTGTATATCTTTTAAATTTAATTTAAAATATAACATTAGTAATTCCATTATGTTTATTAACCATTCATTATGTATTAGTTTTGCTATTTTAATTTGTCAATCCGTGTATCACACGGATTTCATTAATTCATATAATTTATCAGCTACATCATGTATACCCAAGTTGCAAGTGTGGATTCATTCCAAGGGAGGGAAAAAGATTACATTATTTTGTCATGCGTCAGAAGTAACGAACATCAAGTTGGTTAATATTTTTTCCCAATAATTACAAATATTGAACTCTCAATAGCAACATACTTATATTTTCTTTATACAAAATGACAACACATACAGTTTTTACCCATTGTTATGATATGTATTTAGTTTAGGGTTTATAATGGGGTGATGAGATTTTAATTATGGTTTGCTTGTGTGTTTTAGGGTATTGGGTTTCTGAATGATCCACATAGGCTTAATGTTGCACATACTCGTGCTCGATATGGTATTGTGATTCTTGGAAATCCAAAAGTTCTTAGTAAACAACCATTACGGAATGGTTTACTCACGCACTATAAGGTCATACCTTATAACATCTATGAAAAGACAATAATACCATTCCCCCAATAAATATCATTTTGTTTAAGTTGAGACCAGGAGCATGAGTGCTTGGTGGAAGGACCTCTCAACAACTTGAAGCAAAGTATGGTTATATTTCAAAATCCAAAAAAAGTAATGATAGTTTATCAATAATAAATTCATAATTCATCATCCTTTTTAATCTTTCAAGTTCATTATTTATTACCTTTGTGAAATATATCATCTTACAATTACTTTTATTCAAAATTCAATGATGCTATATTAGACAATTAAACATGCACTACAAAGTACATTGTTATTTACTTTAAAATTATGAATATGGACACTTTCTGTTAATTCTTACAAAACAGGCACCATTTCAATAAAACTTTAAAAACATGGGTTTTTTTGGAAAGTTAGTATCACAAGGACCATTCATGCATTTACAATTATTTCATATTAAAACAGGGACCATTTATGTTTTTTTTTTTTCAGTTTATTAAATTTGTCAAATATAGCATCTTACAGTTATTTTTATTCTCAATGAATAAAAATAATGATAATTTCTATTAACTTTGAAAAAACAGGGACCTTTTATGTAAATTTTTAAAAATATGGAGATTTTTTGTAAAGTTACTAACAGAGAGACCTTTTATGTAAAGTTAGTAACACATGAACTTTTCAAACAAGAACTATTCTTGCAAATTACTAATTTTTTGAAAACTTCCCATAATACCTTTTTTTATAACTAACAATGACTTAATATCGCAATATAACCGTAATATAGCAATACACTTTTCTTTTACCAGTTTATACAATATATTTATTAAGACTTTTTATCCTTTCTATCCTAAAATAGCAATATACTTTCTAAGTATATTGCTATAAATGTCAATAATGTAAACTGATTTGTGTTGAATGTTATAAATTCATTGATTTGTGCATTGTAGCTTTTTTTAAACTGTATTTTACTTTTTAGAAACTTATTTATTTAATATTAACTTGCTTTGTATGTTTCCAGTAAACAATCGTTTCATAACAAGCAACAAATACCATTATACCTTCAATTATTTTTCTATTACATCAACCTACTTTCAATTTTTTTAAAAGCTAAAAAAGAAATGCAACACAAATGTAATCATTTTGTGTATATGTGTTATTGTATGTGTGTGGTTTGTATATTTTTTTATGTATGTATTTGTTGTATATTTACTTTTTTATTGATATTTTTTCAATTAAATTGTGTTTTTGTCAATACATATGGTATAAGGCTTATTTAATTTTTAAAGTGTATATCTTTTAAATTTAATTTAAAATATAACATTAGTAATTCCATTATGTTTATTAACCATTCATTATGTATTAGTTTTGCTATTTTAATTTGTTATAACATTTAATGTTGTATAAAATAAACTTTTTCCAAAGTTATGATTAATTATTATGATTTTTAGTCTTTATTTTTATTTTGTAGCCTAAATTTCGGTAATCCTTTATTAAATTCAAATCATATGTTAATATGTAATTAATTTGTGATCTATTATATCCCATAAAATCAGGAACATATACTTATCCAATAAAAATTCAACAACAATAAATTCATAAAATCTGGTAGTATATTATAAAGATATTATATTATTATGTAAATAAGGTTATATCTCTAAATATACCTCATAACGTGAAAGCAATCATTTTGAAAATCCTCATTCGTCTTCTTTGTCTTTGAATTGGATATGCAATTGTTATTTCCTCAAAGTTACAGCAATCTGCTTCATAGAAGTTCTATTCCTCATTTCAGTTCAGACGTTAACTGCTTTTCATTTTAAAGCCCTCTTACTTCCTGCAACATTTCAATATTCATATACCAGGTTAGTCTTTTGAGTTATAATAACATTGGTTTCTGTATGGATTTATTTATGAACATTGAAAGTCAATTGATTTATTGTATTCCATTTCCATACTCATTTGCAACTAAGTGTTGGAACGGAATTTAATTCCAATTTCAACCAAACTAAAGAAAAACGTCAATCAGAAGCCATCTAATCTAACAAAATATTATTTACCTGGTACAGTTTCATCAAGTTGTTAAAGCTCTAATCGTTTGAAACAAGGTTTTTGAATCTCTTTCATCGCATAACAATATCTGCAAATACTGTAAATAAGGTGTTATCTATTGTGAAACAGATCTCAGAAAATCAAGTTTATTCAAAATATGTACATACTCGGAAAAAAATGTGTTACCTCTTTTAAATAGACATTCATTCCAACGATTTTTTGTTCATGGTTTCCATGGAGAACTAGGATTTTACCCCCTCATATCATCCCAACAATTAATTGTTTGAAATTGGGGAAAGAACAATTCGAAATAAAATAAGCCCTAGGTTCGAAATGACGATGAAGACCGGTGATGCACATCAGGGAAGGAATTTAGGTAGGCAGTAGAATAAGGAGATTCGGGGTTAGGATCGTCTATTCTCATGGAAACGGAGACTATGTCGTATGAGGAGAGCTCAATGTAGATGAAATCCTCAAGTTTCCATTTCATGAGTTGTTGAAGACAACCGATGGTGGCTGAATCGATGAAATAAGTTGAGGGTTAACCGGCGAGTGAGTGATAGGAACACACACACAGAAAGAGAAATATAGAGAGAGTGAGTGTAGACGAAGATGTCTGTAGAAAGAGAGTAGATGCGAGATTATTGCGATTTCTTGACCTTATTTCTTTCTACATATACAACACATTTCACATCTAACAGTAAGTGTGGATATTGACTATTATTTGGATCCCTTCGATCCATATTTAGCTTTGCATATACCAAAAATCATGTTAACTTTAATATATTTAATTAAATACACTTTTACACATTATAAACAAATATAAATTATAAAAAAAATATAAAGTTCGATTTTATATTATTTAAAATCTTAAAAAGATTTAAACTAAGTTATTCTTTAATAAAATAATACATCAGTAAATTTATATTTGTAGATTTACAAAACCATTGTATTAAACAAATACATAAAAAATTATATAATCCATCGTATAATGTTAATTTGATATTTCTTAAATATTTCAATTTTTTAAATAATATTATTTATCTTTTAAAGTTGCAGACATACAATGCATTTCGGTTTTAAAAAGACTACAAAAATTAATACTTCAACAAGTACAGCGGTTAATACTTCAATTAACAAAGGTAACTTTTCAAATAAATTTACTTTATCATGATTTTTTTCTTATTTTTTAACTAAAAGCAAGTTTATTTAAATATTTAACATATATATTCACATAAAAAATAGATAATTTGTCAAGTACTTCATCCCCTGCAAATCAATATTCTTCTAAATTGCTAACCGATGCTTACAAAGGTACGCTTATTTATTCCTTCCAAATTATTATATAATCATATTATTTACCTAATTTCACATTTCATATCGTATCTTATGTGCTCTTATGCAGAAAACAAGAATAACGTGTACCACATGCAAGCCCGAGAGAAAAGAAGACAAAGAAAAATATATTTGGAAAATAAAAGATCGAAGAAAATGAAAACAACATTGAACGTTCCAACTACATCAATACTGCATCTCTTAAATAATATAATTAAAAACATCCTATTATTATTTTATATTTTATGTTTTACTGTTACTTTGTTTTATACATATCTTTAAAAGTTTTATAAGTTGTTGTTATTTGCTGATCAATCGACCAACATTGTTGGGCAAACTCAAAATGTCAATTCATTTACTTCACCTGAATGCATACTACAACCATACAATACTCTCCTTCCTTGACAAATGTTAGAACTCCGTTATCTAACATTACAAATGTTAAAAATCCGTTATCTAACATTACAAATGGTAATTATTTATTGTTTTTAAAATATACTATTATCCATTTTGTATATAATACATACATACATATATA